AAATTATACTTTTCATCTATTCCCCTTCCTCCAACTACAACATTAATAAATATAAATATAACCTACTAGTTCTTTCTAGACACTAGAAATATGAGTGGTTTTTATTTCATCCTTTGTGCTTTCCTGAATATTCATAAATATAAACAGTGAACACTCATTCATTCATCAACTACCTAATGTTTTTTCTAGGTKCTGGAGATATAGGAGTGAACAAGTCAGAAACCCACCCCCACCTCCCACCCAAAACCCAAACCTCTCTCTCTTTTTTTAAAAAATATTTTAAAAATTTTAGATGGACACAATACCTTTATTTTATTTGTTAATTTTTTTATGGGGTGCCTCACGCATGCTAGGCAAGCGCTCCACCACTGAGCCATAACCCTGGCTCAAAACCTTTCTCTTAACATCAGTGTCTTTGGGCCTTTCCTCTTGGGCTGTTCAGATTCTTTGAAGAAGATACTTCAAGGGGAGAGAGGGGAGGGAGGTGCTGGGGAGTGATTTGGGCCAAATTATATTGTTATATTGCATATTGTGTGAATGTACCAATAAGTAATAACAAATCCCATCAGTATGTACACTATAATGCACCGATAAAAAATGTGGGGAAMAAAAGAGAAGACACTTTGAGTTTCTTCTTTTGGTACACTTGATAGTCAAAGATTCAGGAAGTGAACAGAGAAAAAGAACACCCACTATCCATACATTCACTTAACTCTTCCTGTTGAAACAGAGAGGTCCTATTTAATTATCTGGAGAATAAATACTTGTCCTTTTTGCAGGAGGTTGGGGTGGGGTGGGACACTTTAAGAGGACCTGAGGATTTAACTGCTCTTAAAAAACTTTTGAAATCCTTGTTTTAATTCCTGTTCAGGGTCCCTGCACAACCTGCACATGCAGCTCTGCTTTCCTATACTTCCAAAGTAGGCATGGGGCAAGGCGACTGCCACCAATTCCGGATACTTGGGAAAATTGGCAGTATAAATCTGATTGGGTCTGAGCTTTTCTCACTTCGTGTTTAGGATTCAAGTTTCTTCAGGATGCTATCTTAATTAATATTTTCTTTCCAGTTTTCATCAATTTAGTTTTGCTAATGGCTGTTTTTATTATTGTGACTTTTTTTTTTAATATTTATTTTTTTAGTTGTACTCAATATCTTTATTTATTTTTATGTGGTGCTGAGGATSGAACCCAGGGCCTCGCACATGCTAGGCGAGCACTCTACCACTGAGCCACAACTTCAGCCCCTATTATTGTGACTTTATGCTTTTAAAAATCCCTTTACTGTTATTTTAATAGTCTTCTAGGAGGGAACAGAAGTAGATCTCTGTGTTTRTCTTCATTAATTAACTCTTCACTTTCTGAAAACACTTTTCTTCTAATTTAATTTAAATTAATTTACTAATTTAAATACTCTCTTCTTAAAATCCAAATACTTAACTTTCCCCTTTTGTCTTTAGAATTAAATATTTGAATAAAATATGTATTTTTACTGATAGATCTTTGGATTTAAGAGGGTTTGCTGTTGCATCCTTAAAGATTTTTTTAAAATATTTTTTTAGTTGTAGATGGGCACAATATCTTTATTTTTATTTATTTATTTTTATGTGGTACTGGGGATAGAACCCAGGGTCTCACACATTTGAGGCAAGYGCTCTACCACTGAGCTACAACCCCAGCTCAAGATTCTTAAGTAGCAAAAATGATCCCTTTTCTCAGCAGATAAAAAATGGGGGTGAGTATATTTACACATATTCAAAATGATGATTATAGAAAGCTAGCTACTGCAGCATTGTTTGCAATATCAAAAGACTGAAAAACCCTAAAGGTCTATCAATAGACATCATATTAAATAAAATATGCCATCCATATGGTAGTATATTATACAGTTAAAAAGAATGAGGCAGATCTTTATGTTCTGCTGTGGAAGTCTTGACATACTCATAATAGAGTATGTATAGTATGCTATCATTTGTTTAAAATACATACATAATCTGTAGTATAATGTTTCCTGGGAAGGAAATTAGGTGACCGGAAGACAGGGAGACTTAATTTTTCCTTGTACCCTTTGTACTATTTGAATTTTATACCACATTCTTATATCACTTATTTCAAACATTAATTAAAAATATCAGTGAATAATTTTTGAAAGGGTGGGTTCCAGCTTGCTTAGTATGCATGCGGCCCTGGGTTCAATCCCCAGTACTAAGAAAGAAAGAAAGAAAGAAAGAAAGAAAGAAAGAAAGAAAGAAAGAAAGAAAAAGAAAAAAGAAAGAAAGAAAGAGTATGGGCTCTATGACCTTTCCTGAAATGACACTCTGGACAACTCCAGTGGAGTGCTCTCTCATTTGATCCTTTGCCCTTTGCTGGAAATTATTCTTCATGGCAAGTCATTATGCATCTCTTTGTTACAGCTCTCCCATTTTTTTTAAAGAGAGAGAGAGAGAGAGAGAGAGAGAGAGAGAGAGAGAGAATTTTTTAATATTAATTTTTTTTTAGTTATCGGCGGACACAACATCTTTCGTCTGTATGTGGTGCTGAGGATCGAACCTGGGCCGCACGCATGCCAGGCAAGCGCACTACCTCTTGAGGCACATCCCCAGGCCCCAGCTTTCCCATTTTTAAAAGTAACATTAACATTCTTGTACAAAAATTCCACCCCTCCCTTTTTTTGGTATTTGGAATTGAAACCAGGAACAGTCAAACACTGAACTATATCCCCAGCCCCCCCCACCCCCAACGTTTTATTTAGATATAGRGTATTGCTGAGTTGCTTAGAGCCTCCTAAGTTGCTGAGGCTGGCTTTGAACTCAAAATCCTCTTGACTGAGCCTCCCCAGCTGCTGGTATTACAGGCGTGCCCCACTGCTCCCATTTTGAATTTTCATTTTTAATTTACTAAGCCTTTTCAGGGTGCATGGGGAATACAACTTTGCAAAGAAGACTAGCTAGTGGAAAATATGTGGCCRAATATAAGGGAGGGAGTAAATGGGAAGAAGCATGAGGCTCCCATCATTTACCAAGTACAGGTTAATTTGGATTAGTGGCCATTTTTTATAAAATGTTAAAAGTCCCTGGAAAGGTAAAGCAGGACTCACAGAACCTAAAAATCAACTAGTCCAAACCTTTATTCCATAGATAATGAAACAGGTCTTGCCTGAGATTTCAAYGCAAGGTATCAGGGAAGTCCAGATCCAAACTCAAATCTCCTCTTAAAKTCATTTGAGGAAGGAACTACACCGTCCAGCCTCTCAAAGAAGAGGTCTAGCTCGATTCAAAGATGGGATCTTTTCACATAAGACAGGCATAGTGGACTCTGTGCCTGGTGAGCATGTGAGAGAAAGCAGAAAACGGGAAAAGAGGTGGAGGACAAGTTTTGCCTCTTCATGATTRTGTCTGGCGATAGGAGAGTTTGTGTCAATGGAAGTCTTCTGTATTGGCAGAAGCCCGGTTAAAGATAATCAGAAATGGGGTTGGAAGGCTACAAACCTCAACTTCCTCTTCTCAAACCCGRTCTCCCTACTTCAAGAAACCAACTGTACTTTAGTTTATAGCTCTTATTGACCCTTYCCCATCCCCCCTCTCCACATTTGGAAAAAGAAAATTGGAAAAGAAGTATGCAACCCAAAAGAGAGAGTTCATTATTCTCAGGGTATTTTCAGTTGATCCTCAGTATCTGCTGTGTCCGGAAAGTGAGACAGCCATTTAGGTAACCGTGGAGATAGTGCTGTCCTCGGTCTTGTTTCCTTCCTTTTCTTTGCTATTGAAATCTTTCCCTCTGATTTCAGTAATGCACCCCACCTCTGCAGGCGTCTGGATTCCTCAGCTCCTCTCCCTTTTCAAGGGCATTCGTGTAGGGAGCAGAAACACATTTAGGAACACATAAAGCTGTCGATGGACCTTTATTTTATTTTTATTTCTATGTGGTACTGAGAATCGAACCCAGTGCCTCACACATGCTTGGCAAGCACTCTACCACTGAGCTATAACCCCAGCTCAGGAACACAATTTTAACACATTAGTGTGTGTAAGCGTAAGAACGAGTGAGGTTTTTATCCAAGAGGGATCAGTCCCACCTAAGAACTCCGGAGCTTCAGCCTCTCAGCCTCGGGGCTCTGGTGCTCGGCCTCAGCCCAGACTACGAGTCCCAGAAGACCGCGCGGTGATGATGTTCTCCATCATCCTTCCCTKGCTCTCCCGGAGCGCTAAGAGAAAGGTTCCGTGAGCGGCGCACTGTGCGTTGGTTTGTTTGCAASGGCAGTGACGGAGGCTGGCAGCCCGGAGGACTGCAGGCGGGGGCGTCAGGAGGCAGATTCCGCCTCCCTGAAGCACTGGGGGGCGGGAAGGAGGGGGAGTGGATCAGCGGCCGAGGACCCGGCCGAGAAGACACTGCGCTGAGGATATGGAGGGCGACGGGCTGCCATGGGGCAGCGAGCCGGTCTCGGGTCCTGGCCCCGGAGGCGGCGGAATGATCCGCGAGCTGTGCCGGGGCTTCGGTCGCTACCGCCGCTACCTGGGACGGCTGAGGCAGAACCTGCGCGAAACCCAGAAGTTCTTCCGCGACATCMAGAGCTCCCACAACCACAGTTGCCCCTCCTCCCCCACCGGCGGCGGTGGGGCCGAGCCTGGCCCTGCCGACGATGTCGCCGAAACCGGGCTGCAGGCCGGTAAGGAGGACAGGCCTGAGGGAAATAGCAAATTTGAAGGCGAACCTCACCCCTGCCCCTGCCCCTACCCAACAACCCTGGGAAGAGGCGCTAAGTGGGATTTGGGCTGCGTGGCGGGGCCTCGAGGCCTGGGCCGGCGGGATCCGTGATGCGGTGGGAGGGCATCCCTGGGGGAGGGGTACCGAGGGCTCGGGCGGGGACCTGGGAGCCAGGGGCGTCCCGAGTGCAGAAGCCAGGACCCAAGGGACCCGGCTGTGCGCGGGCGGACTGGGAAGGGCGGGTGCGTGAGGAGTGTGGGTGTAAATCCGAGGAGTGGGGAAAGTTGCTTTGAGTTGGAGGGGAGCGGTTGTGGCTCGGAGTCCCAGTTTAGGGATGGAGGAGAGACAGCAGTCAAGGTGTCCCAGAGTCTGAGGAAGCCTCAGGACTACAGCGGTGGGTGGGTGTGTGTTCAAGTATATAAAATGCCTGTACATCCCTCTTGAGGCAGCTCTGTAGAGAAGGAATGTATTCTAATAGGGTTGGGTGTCGCCAAAGGAAACCGTATCTGATGGGTGTCAGGGAATTGCCCAGAGATGTTGCTTTTGCTTAAAGGTGAAGAAGTTAGAGGGAAGGAAGGGATCGCTTTAGTCCTGAGCTCTTGGAGAACTAGTTACTATTGCCCTTGTTTACATGATTCTTTCTGGGATGTGCCCGATGTCCCAGAGCACTTAAAATTATGCATGGTCTTTAATCTTTCCTAACTTCTTGTTTTAAAGTGTTGTTGTTGTTGAACTGGAGGGTCAATTGACTTCTGTGTCTTATTAGGATATAGACTGAAAAGGAGAARGGACTGGCATTCCACATAGATATTTCAGGGACAACATTGGTTTAATTCTTAAACCACAATGCGTATTAAAATCATACCATATCTCAGGCTTTCTCTCAGATTCTGATTAAATAATTGTGGTAAGGGATCCTATAAATCWGATTTAACATGAAAAGACCCTGAGATTCGGATGCAGGTGATCTGCTAACACTATCAGAAACACGAGTTTAGATGCCGATAGCAAATTTGAACAACTATTATGTTGAGAACTTGCATGAAATGTTTTGAGGTTGTGTGTTAGATCTTATTTTCCCAAAAGTGTGTGTTTAATATCTTGAATTTGAAATTCCAGAATTGGTAATAAAAATGAGCTCCTATCAGTTGCATTGTGCACACACACACCTGTAATCCCAGCAACTGGAGAGGCTGAGGCAGGAGTACTGCAAGTTCAATGACAGCTTCTGCATTTTAGCCAGGCTCTCAGCAATTTAAGGACACCCTGCCTCAAAATTAAAAGGGCTGGGGWTGTAGCTCAGTGTGTAAAAGTACCCCTGGATTCAATCTCCAGTGGAAGGGGAGAGCTTGTAACATTCTGATAGTATCCTAAATTATACCATTTCATTTAGTTGGCCTGGATATCAATTATTAAAAGCTCTTATTTACCTTAGGGGATAAGTGGGATTAGGATGATAACTAGCTTTTCTGAAGTTGGGTTTTTGACATCTTATGTCCGGGGATTTGCTGTTCTAGAAATGAACTTGCAGATGGAACTGTTTTCTTTGAGGCTATCAGAAAACAGCTGATAAAATAACTAATGGTTTCRGAGAGGATCCTGGGAATGTGTACTTTCACCTTCTCTCTTAGCAGTGTTTTCCAGCATCTTTCATGCTCAGAAACTTTTCTCAAAGTTTATCTTAGAAAGCTCTCTATTGCTGTTTTATTTTAGTTTAGTTAAATAGTATTTAAAATTTCTTTTAAATTATTATTATTATTATTATTTTATTATTATTTAGTGCTGGGGCTCAAACCCAGGACCTCTGGCAAGCAAATACTCTACCATTGAGCTACACCCCCAGCCAGGCTGTTTTATTTTATTTTACTTATTTTTACTTTTTTCCCATTTTACCATTGAACCCAACGCCTTGCACATAATAGGCAAGTACTTCTGATGTACATTCCCAGTCCTTTTTATTTTATTTTGAGACACGATCTCAYTAAATTGCCCAGGTTGACCTTGAATTTGAAATTCTCCTACCTCAACCTCAAGATTACAGGTGTGCACCACCTCAGCTCTTGCTATCTTACGTTACACAACTATTTTAGAATTATTCTTAAGAAAATCAGAGAATAGAGTCACCTTAGGGAGATGGACGTTTTCAAGGCATCTTTGTTGGCTCTTGTTTTTATTTTTTAAAAGTCAACTTAAGCAATACAAATACACCTTTGTATTTTGCCTCATTGACTTTTCTGGTTGACTGCATCATGAACTAATTTTGCATATTTAGCTYTCTTTATCCTCTGGAATCTGTCCATCCTAAATAAAAACTGAGAGGGTGCAGAAGACAAGACTGGGGGCAGTTTGATTTGTTCCATGAGACACTTCCCTTCCTGACGGTGTGGAGGGTCTTGTCTTGGGGAAGTAGAAAACACCAGGGAAAATTAGATGATACTTGCTATGTGTATTTAGGGGTGCCATTTTATCAGCTATTTAGGTAATTATGTTAGGAAATAGAAACCGCTCTGTAAAAGACAACTAGCTCTTGTTCTCTCTTTTTACAGGCTATCTGTGTAAGGTCAATGTCATTCAGAGACTGTCTCAACTTTCTTTTGTGAATGCTGGTTTCTGATTAATAGGAACCTGGAATGTTAAGGAAAGGAACACTCAATTCTTAAGAAACTTCAAAAAAGTTTTAATCATTTCAGAATGGCAGTGACCTTCTGGGCTTGAGGCAGTATGGTATTTAAGCAGTTGAAAATTAGGGACAAACTATAAATTTGAAATTGTTGGACTATAAGGATGGTAACAATAGAAAAAATTTTTGTTTCTTTATATACTATTTATAGTGCCATATAATACCAAGAAGTTTTGTTATTTCACTTTCAACCACAAAGGATTGGGAAGAACCTCAAAATAATACTTCCCTTTTTTTTCCCCCCTGGTACTGGGGTTAAACCTAGAGACTCACACATACTACATCCCCAACCATTTTTAGTTATAGGTGGACACAATATCTTTATTTTACTTTTATGTGGTGCTGAGGATCGAACCCAGTGCCTCATGAATACTAGGCAAGCACTCTACCTCTGAGCCACAACCCCAGCTCCCCAACCATTTTTATTTTTTATTTGAGACAGAGTCTCACTAAGTTGCCCAGGCTGGCCTCAAACTTGGCATTCTCCTGCCCCAGCCTCCTGGATAGCTGGATTTATAGGCATGCACCACCATGCCTGGTTTATTTCCCACCACCATGCCTGGTTTATGATGTCGAGAATATATAATATGTTATATTTTATTTTTATTTTTATCTTTATTTTTTGAATTTTTAATATTTATGTTTTAGTTCTCGGCGGACACAACATCTTTGTTGGTATGTGGTGCTGGGGATTGAACCCGGGCCGCACGCATGCCAGGCGAGCGCGCTACCGCTTGAGCCACATCCCCAGCCCAATATGTTATATTTTAGAAGTTAAACATTTAGAAGTTTAAGAGTTAAAAAGTMGGTGGAATAGGACTCCAAAATGATTTTTTTTAAAAGAGTAGCTTGGTTTGCATAAAAAAAAAAATGGAATTGTAAGTGAAGTTTCCTTTATTTAGTTCTGCTGCCCAAATGGGCCTTTTTTCCCATTTTACTATGGGAGATGAGACTCCCCTTATATCTTGATTTTTCATCAGAGGGTTCAGAAGTAATGAGATAAAGACTGAGCACTTCTGGAGAAAGGCAGGATAGAATATTACAAAACAAAAGAGGGAAAAGTGTTTTTCGTGTTTTATGATCCAGTAGAGTTCCTGGTTTTGCAGTTTGTCATAAACCTCTCAATTTTAAGAAACTGGAGTGACTCAATTCATTCCAAAGGAATTCTATTCTTTGTGTTGCCTTCCTTCCATCCTGGTTCCACTCCCTACTAACTGAATGACAAACCACAACTGTGTTGTCCCATAGTCTTCATCTGGAGAAGGGAATTTGAATCCTACTTACCTGTAGGATTGTCGGGAGTTAATATATGCACAGGTTTAGAACAGGTGCCATGTAAATATTAGCTATTATTCAATAGAAATTTGAGTTCCTGGGATGTACTAGTCTGTGGGATATATGTGGATAAAGCATAAAAGATGTCGGTTTTGGCTTTGGGCTAGTGGACATTGGTCTTTTTCTTCTATGCTTTTCTCCTAAGAAAGAAAAATAATTATAATTATCCTCACTATAAAATACTTATTTGTTTATGTTGGATGATACATAAAAGAACAAGGTAGACCTGAACTTGGTCCTCTACAAAGGTGYAATCTAATCCAAACTTTATTCACCTGCAACACATAAAGCATGGGAGGTGGTGGGAACCATAATAGGAAGGTGTAAGATTATAGGAATTTTTCTTTTTGGTACTAGAGATTGATCCCAGGGGTGCTTTACGACTGATCTACATCCCCAGACTTTTTTTATTTTGAGGCAGGATCTTGCTAAGTTGCTGAGGGTCTTGCTCCGTTGCCCAGGCTGGCCACCAACTTGGCAATCTTCTTGCCTCAGCCTCCTGAGTTGCTGGGGTTACAGGTTTGCACCACTGTGTCAGTACCAGATTATAGGCATTTTATGTGAATTATAATTCTTAGGTTTTTATAACTCTTTTTGCTTTTGGTTAGCTGATAGCTATGTTTCCCCAATATTCTTCATTCCCTTTTTGGCATGTCTAGTATGAACTTGTTGCCAGAATTTAAAAGAAGGAAAAAAGCATTAGTGCACTTATTTAAAACAGACATTATCTTAGAAAGTTGTATGGATGATAAAGTTTAAGTGGCAGAGCGACACTTGGGGGAGATGCAAAACACTGGGAGAAAGGAGTCTCTTTGCAACCTGGTTTTGTATACCTGCCATCTTTATGGGGCTGAGGGTTGGGGAGAACAGGTTGTGGGGCAAAACACAGAGAAGAGATGGAATTACTGTGTATTCTAGTAGTTTGTGATGTTTAGAAGAGCTGCCTA